TTTCTTTCCTTCCTTCCTTCCTTGGTTAAACAACTTGCTATTCTGAGATAGCAACAGTTTTCACGGAAGCGTCTTCCCTCTCTTCATCCTCTGCTGCATCCTGAGAAACCGACGCCAAAATCTCCAGGAGACATTTCATCTCAATCAATTAGAAATTAAATGCTTTCTGACAACAATGAGAAGAGGCTTTAATTTTAGAGCTAATTAAATATCAACAATTGGAATGTAAAAGCAGACACTTAACCTGAAGTAACCCCACTATTTATAAAAGAAGAGAATGCATGGGCTGAGGATTTGAAGTGAGTTGTAGTCATTTTAATATCAGCTGTCACACTCTAACTGTTCTCCTTTGTTTCACTGCAGCACAATCATTTGTGTCGGCTTCTTCCAAGAGGATCAGATGGTATAAGCATGTGACCACAATGGGGCAACATAAGAAGGGTGGACCACTGCCTCCAGCCTAAGCAGGGAGGACACTTTCCCCTTCTTCACCCAAATTCAAGTGTCAGTAGTGTTGGCTTCCAAGGAACAAAGCCAGTGATTTATTAGAGACCATTGGGTTATTAACTGTGAAAGTATGCCGCTTAAGTCTAGCAGGATCTCCGAGATCAGGTCTATACATGAAGGAGGAGCAAAGTGTGAGCTGGATTTTAAATGGAAACCAGTGAGGATATCCCAGAGGTGGTATTGCTCTGAGTACATATGATTATTGCTCCGTGAGAATGCAGCAATAGATACTGTGCAACAGAGCAAATCAGCATTGCTTAAGGCAACTCGAAGAATTGGAGTCCCCCAAACAAACCATTATAACTTTGAAACTGGACCTTTGAAAGCTTTACACAGCAAAAGGCAACCTGAATGCAGACAACACCAATGACAGCAGTCAGGATAGTCTACAACTGGGGTCCCCAACCCCCGGTCCGCAGCCCAGTACTGGGCTGTGGTCGTGGCATGACCAGGCCAAGGAAACAGATCTCCTGCCCACCTGCATGCACAGCTGCCTCGCCTATCTGCACATGTGTGCAAGGGTTCCCCCTGTGCACAGACACCGCCCCCCAACCGGTCCATGGTTTGGAAAAGGTTGGAGACCCCTGGTCTACAGGATACCTTCTTCTGCTCTTACCATTCACACTTGCTGAAAAGCAGCCCTCACCATTGCTTTGAGTTTGGGTGAGAAGCAGTGGACAGATAAACAAAGGATTTTTCCGTGCATGGTATCATTTTTGTGAATGGTAGTGAGCACAAGGGTATATTCTGTAGACCATTTTGAGTGCTGCCATGGGTGTTGACAATATTCTGGTTGCTCTTTGGTATGTAAAGCTCGGCATCTTTTTTTCCTGCTGGCAACATGGGCACAGCATTGTGCAGCAATACTGGGCCATTTCCTGGCTTTTTGAATTGTGGGTACAGAAGTACAGTATTCCACATTCATAAATCAGAGGGTTTTTTGAAGAATTGAAATAGCTGTAAGGAGACTTCTATTTAAGATATTCAAGGGAAGTTTATATCCAGCGAAGATAAAGGTGTCTGTTAGACAACCATATTTAGAGAAACAAAGAAAGATGGGATTTTCTGCCCATTGGTTACATGAGTAAGATAATACAGAAGAAGAGGAAATGAGTGGAAAGAAGTTAAACTTGAGATTATAAGGGGCCAAAATACATTTTCAAAAAGATGAGTCTTTCCTGCTATTACAACAATTTTTCCTGAGCAATATCTGACTCCAGAAAGAGACTAGCAAAGGAAGGAAGCTGGAGTGGACATTCCACTGATCATCCCAATGACACACACACTTCATTTTTAATGTGTTTCCACGGTTATATCTATTTCACTCCTAGAGGGAGCACTCTTTTTAGATATGAGTTCTTGGTATCATCCAGAGAGACTTCAGTCAATAGGTAAGTAATCAGCAGAGCAGATGATACAAAGAGTGCACATACTGTACTAGGGAACTCTAAGGACCTGTACCTACCCAGTTCCCTACTGATTTACATAGTTACTTGTGCAAATGTGAATGTACCTTTCTCCACTTCCAGAATGTCTGTGCTACAAGCCTATTGCAGTTTTTAATCATTTGCTCAAAGAATGATGCTTCATGCAGGTACTCACAATTCTGTAACAATCACTC